TTATTACCGCTAAATGCTTCAAAATACAACGCATGTAATAATTTTGCCCAGCCCTATTCCTGACGTTTCGCAAAACTAAACCATTTATCTCTTGACTATTCTTAATTTCATGAAAGTGCTATATCTTGCTATTATGATCGTTTCAATACGAAACAAAAATGAGACAACATGGGACAAATGAAAATAAAAAACGGACGAATAAAATAAGTCGTAAAAGTAAAAATGGAAAACAATTTTTAATACAAAACAAAAATGAAACGAATGAAAATAATAAAAAAGAAAAATGGATGATGAATTACGGTAGGTAGTAAAAGTAAAAAAAATGGAAGTGGACAACAATATGGAACAGTGTAGCTTGTGGTCGTGTTGATAATTCAGATATAATGTATTCACAGGCAGATAGACATGAAACGGATAAAAACGCCAAAAACCTCCAATCTCCTGCTGTGTGCACCTGTGCAGAGTTTCATGCTCACCTGTGCAACATTCTACTCTTAATATATTATCATCGCCGATCGTAAAACCTTGTCATTGTGATAGTATAGATACGCGTATCTGGCTGTTCATCAGCCTTACGTATCAACAACATCTATACGGTCGAAGAATGCCGAAATGTTAACACACAAATTTAATGTGCATTAATCGGATTCACAATAAATAAACAGCATATGACCGGGGCTATAATTAAGTTTTTGTAGGATTTGGTGACGAGGATCAGGTAGGAGTTTTCACTTTATATTTAACTACACGTGGCGCCACATAGTCTGGCGTTCAAATGTCGCAGCGAGTTACGCACGAGCTACGCAATGTGACGTCGGCCTTAAATGGAGCGAAATTGAATCACGTTGTTGACGTCACGTTCAGCGTAAGCACCGTAACGTCGATATTTTGACGAAATTTTTAAATCAAAATAATATATTTTACTTGAATCTCGTACGACATCTCGTGATCACTGTAATTTTCCTTGTACATTGTGTATGCCCTCTAGCGATTGACGGTCTTTTAGTGAAGTTAGCGTCGATAGAAGTCGCTATTTTAGCCGCTCAAAAGCGAGGTGTCAATTTTTGGCAAAAAGGTGATTTTTTGTGCAAAAAATAAATCCTATTAGGCGACTGAATATGATAAGAGATTAAGATATATAAGGACTCTCTATAGAAACTGCCAGAAGCAGAATATGACGTAATTTAGTCGAGATATAAACGATTGAAAATTTCATCCGAAGTTATAAACCATCCGAAGTTACCTGCGTTTACGGTATATTATACATAAGAAAAGAAAATAAAAAATTGGAAGATGACAAACAAGGTGATATATCACATAGTCCAGTTAGAAAAAAACAAGCAAAAGAACAAAGACAACAAAAACCAGTAATAAAATTACAACGAAAGAATGAAGTAGATGAAAATATGGAAACAAGCTAAAATTTTATAAGAAACTATCAAAATATATATAAGAAAAAACTAATGGTGATATACATAACAATGCTAACTTTAAACGTTAATGGAATTCGTGATGATCAGAAAAGAAAAAGTTTATTTAAAGAATTATCTAATCAAAATGCAGACATTATATTTATTCAAGAGACTCATAGTACCAATGATATAGAAAGTAAATGGAGTAGGGATTGGAAATGGGGAAATTCATTATGGAATTCGGGGCTATCTAATTCTTGTGGTGTAGCAATATTACTGAAATCAAAACTGGCTTATCATAAATTTGAAAATATTTCATGGGATAGGGAGGGAAGGGTACTTGCTACAGATATAAATATATGTGGTGAAGTAATACATTTAGTAAATATATATGCCCCATGTAGAACTGTAGTAAGAACGCAAGAAGTGTTTTATGATAAATTATATCGTTTTGTGTATTCACCATTCAATGTATTTTTAGGGGGAGACACAAATTGTGTACATGATGTTGATAGGGACCGTTTTGGGAATGTGAATAAGAGACCACGTAGAGAATATGTTTCAGAGTCTCTTGATCAATTGATAGAAGTGTTTCAGTTAGCTGATTCCATTGAATGGTTTACAAATGCGAATCCCTTTTTTACTTGGCGTAACAACATGGTTCAAGCAAGATTGGACAGATTTTACTGTACTAAAAATGGATGTAAAATTAGAGATTATAAATGCAGTCCCACAATATTTTCTGATCATGATAAATTCATAATTGAAGTTGAAGTAGACACAACAATGGAAGAAAGAGGTAGAGGATATTGGAAAAACAATGTTAAAGTTTATGAAAATAATGATTTTATGATAGAACTGAAACATAAATGGGATAACTGGAAAACATTACAATGGCTGTTTGAATCCAAGGCGTTATGGTGGATAGAGATAAAACAAAAAAATAAAAGACCTAGTAATTGAATTCTCTGTTAAGATGTCCAGAGTAGAAAAAGAGGAACATAGAAGAGATATGGAAAAATTACAAGAACTTAAGGAAAAATTGGATAATGGAGAAAGAGTTTTGACCTTGCTAAATAAAAAGAAAAGTGAAATAATCAAGAAAACAAAAGAGAAAGATAAAAAACTATTAATCCAGAATACTGCAGAAAAATATGACAACTACGAAAAGTGTACTAAATCCTTTTTCAAACAATTGAAAACCAGACATATGAAAACAACAATTAGAAACTTGAAAGACAAAAACGGCACAATACAAAATAAACTTGAGGACAAAATGAATATTGTAACAGACTTTTACAAAGAACTCTATAGTAAAGTTGAATGCAATGAGACACTACAGAATATTTTTTTAAATAGGATACCAACAACAGGGAGAAAAGTACAACAAGAAGAAAATGAAATATTACAGCAAAATATAGAAAGAGAAGAAATATTTCAAACTATTAAAAGTTTTAAAGAAGGAAAAACTCCAGGACCAGATGGTCTGGGAATAGAATTTTACAAAAAATGCTGGGACATAATAAAAGAAGAATTCATATTGGTAATGAAAGAAATGTATGAAGAAGAGCATATACCTGATACTTTAAAAATTGGTTACATAACACTGATACACAAAAAGGGGGCAGAAGATGAAATAAAAAACTATAGACCCATAACTCTATTAAATTCAGACTACAAAATTATTACAAAGATTTTAGCAAATAGAATTCAAAGTTTACTACCTAATATAATAGACAAAAACCAAGCTGCAATACCAGGAAGAAGAATTAGTGAAATACTCAGTATTATTAGAGATGTATGTCAACAAGAAAAAAATATTATTGGAGAAAATGCGTTATTGTCACTGGACTTCATGAAAGCCTTTGACTCTGTAGATTTGAAGTACCTATATAAAGTGTTAGAAAAATTTGGATTTGAAAACAAATTTATAAGTTTGATTCGGGAATTATACACAGGTTCTGAAGCTAGAATAATAGTAAATGGGTATTTGACTTCTAAAATTAAATTTGAAAGAGGAATTCGTCAAGGTGATCCGATTAGTATGTTTATTTTCATAATTGCAATAGAACCACTTATAATATATATAAACACAGAAAATAATATTCGTGGAATTGTTGTACCAGGAAATAATGAATTGAAAAGTCTTGGATTTGCTGATGACGTGACTCTGGCATTAGGTAAAGAAAATTCCATAAAAGAAGCATTGAAAGTTATTGAAAGGCATCAAATAGCAACAGGTATGAAATTGAACAAATCTAAAACAAAATTAATGAGAATTGGAATTTGGAGACGAATAAACCCACAACAAGACATCAGTGAAGTTGAATCCATGGAAATATTAAATGTTACATTTGGGAATATAGATATGTGTCAAATTAATTGGATGAAATGTTTAGAGGAAGCAAAAAATGTTGTAAGAGAATTACAGGATATCAAGTTGACTTTAGAGGGCAAATGTATATTAGTAAAATTAAAGGTGTTGCCGCAGTTTCTATATTTATCGAAAGTATTTCCGATGCCAAATTCTATAGGAAAAAGAGTGAATGACATGGTGGAAAAATTTGTATTCAATGGAAGAAGCATACTGAAAATAGGGAATTTGTGCAAACCAAAAAATTTGGGGGGTTATGATATTATTAACATACCCATTTTTACAATGTGCATGTACATAATTAGTGTCTTGGATTATTATAAAGCTAGAGAATGTGATTATAATGAGGATTACAATCATATTTGTATGTCCTTTGTTGAATACAATATTGGACAACAACTTAGTACATTTTGGGGGATTAGAACTAAAAATACATGTTTACATAGATTTTGTCCTCAAAGTGAATATAGATTAATATTAGAATTTTTAAGAAAGCATAACATAAGTAGTACAGATATAAAAGAAGATATGCATAAAACTATTTATAAAAAAATTGTTATTTCTATGACTGGGGACAGATTAATTTTTCTACGCAATTGTAATTTAAATATTGCATGTGAGAATATTCATAATAATATTCTGGCAAACTATATGAAAACCTTTAATTTCAAGTTAATGTGGGATATTTTACCAGTAAAAACAAAACCTGGAATAAGAAATATAGCAGGAAATAATATGTGTGTGTTATGTGGAAAAGAACCAGAATTTGTTAGCCATCTATTTATGAATTGTGAATATTTCGATTATGTTTTTGATTTTATGGAAAATACTGTTAGGAAATTAAATAATGCCAGGCTTTTGAAAAATTATGAAACTTGTGTTTTATTGGATTTAAGCTATTTGTTACATTCCAACATTACAAGACGAGATTTAGATATTATTGTTTATTTAATTTCAATCACTAGATATAAAATATGGATACAAAGAAATTCTGTTATATTCGAAGGTAATCCCCCTAATCAGCACCTAGTTATCAAACAAATAAAAACTGCAATCACTTACAGACTCAACATTGAAAAAAATAGAAAATCACCAAATTTTGTCAGAGAATTTGAAATACTAAGGAATTGTATTTGAACTATAAATCAAGTGTGTATAAATTTAGTATATATTAAAATGAACATGTCTAATATATTTAATTTAAAAAAAAAGTATTTAGAACGTTTACTTCTTTTCACAGATTGTTCTGCATAAGCCTTCACCGGTATATCAATTGTGTACTTTCTATCCCGTACGCCATTATGGCACAACACTGTGCCCTGCCAGGATGCAATGTAGCAAGAGGTCGAGGTAATCACGGTGTTTACATATTGGAAATAAATCCTTATCCGCGAATAAATAAAGAGTGGCAAAAGAAACTGTTGGAGTTTTGTTACGACTATCGTGATAAGAAAGATATTTTTAAATTGGCTAAAAAAAGACATCTAGGAATTTGTGAGAAACATTTCGATTCAAATGAATTCAGTTATCGTAAAGGAAGAAAACGTGTTATTGTTGGAAGCATTCCTACAAAAAACTTACCCCAAAAATTTCTTGAATCTTCGCAACCGAAAGCTTGGAGAAAGATAGTAAAGTCTGGGTTGAAAAAAACACCAAGGCATAAATCTTGGGCTGATATAAGCAATTCCTTTCTTAAGTTGAAACAGCCAAATTGGTTTATCTTTCAAAATTTTGAAACATTCAAGTTAGTGGGGAACATGGAATCTCACAGAATATTCATCAACATTGAGAAAGATTTGACCATAGGGTGCACATTACAAAACGAAATAGAAGAGCGAATAATTGAGTGGGAAGGCCCTAATATTGTTGAAGACACAATTTCGAGTGTTTTGTTTTATGCGAAAAGTTTACAACTTAGAAATGGTGTTTGAAAACAAACGGTCAGTGAGAAATCCTTGAATAAGGACTTTTAAGACTTATTGCAGTATTGTACAGTACCCCAACTGAAATTATAAATTGGAAAATCCTGTTGAACCAAAGAGTCACATCTACCTATTCAGATTCACCACATTTATTGAAGGTATGTATATTTCTCCCAGAACCGTTGCATTTTCATTGATTTCCATTTAGGTTTTTGAGGTATTTCACATTTTTATTTAAAATAATAATAATTTGTCGAAGTAGCTCTTGTACTTATATATGTATATATACAAGGCTCAAGCCCTAATTGTTGTAGGCAATTTATTTTGAAATACCTAAAACATCAACTGTTGCAGACTGCTAGAAACTCACTTTTAAAGAATGATATTTTGTCTTCGGATGGCGTTTTGGCATGAAAACACATACAGGAAATTTATGAAGGTATGTCTAAAAACATCTGAAGCAGTCATGTAAATTAACAGACCAACATGTTTACCTTAATAGGTTGACAAAAATGTCGGTTAATAAATATTCAGCCCAGGTATAGCACAATGTATTGATTTAGGTATTCACTCGTTTTAAGTAGGATTGATCTTCAATTGAGTATTAAATACTGGTAGCATGATTATTACATCCTTGAATTACTAACAGTATTCAGGTCAATATTGACCAGGAAAAATTTTTTTTACAGGTCCTTTCTCCATCTGTTGCTAGAATTTTGAAAAGATCAGGATACGAAGCGACTGTCAAATATTTCAGACTGTGGAACACCTTTTTTGACTTTTGATATATGTAACAGCACTACTGGTGTAGCCTAGCTTTTCCAAAAAATGAAAATGCACTACTATTCATTTACGTGAATATCCATTGAGGTGTACACAGTATGCTCCCAGCTTTTTATTGGGGGGTCCAAAGGTATGGGGTGGTAGATGTTTTATTTTATTCATCCCTTTCACCATACAATTTGATATGTTGGATTGCATTTGTGACATATCACCAAATTCAGTATTTTCAGCAATGAAATACACAAAAATATGCCTACCAAATATAGGAAACATAAAACTGGGACAGTGCGGATTCGACAAGTCTTGCTTCGTTCCTCAGTTTTAGTAATATTCAGGTCATTGAACATTAGTAGTATTCAAAGCGTGCACTTTCTTTTAAACAATTTAAGGGCAGTACAGCTAATGTTAGACGTTACATTGACGTATTAAAAGTAAAATAAATAGTACAATAGCAATATAGTAGTTCTTTATCTTACTGAACTAGTAAAGTGAGTCGAAAATCTGTGATAAGTGAACTGCCTCCATTAGGGTTGCCACTTATGGATACATTTTTTTTTTCGAATCCAATCTCGAATCAAAAATTTTCGAATCTAATTTTTCCGAATCTGATTCAATTAAGTTTTTTTTTTTTATTGCACGCATATGTTTGCTCAAAGTCACAAAAAAGCGAGAAAAACTTAAAAATGGAATACGCCATATAGCATGAATGATAAGGGTTTTTCAGTGAATAAGCTACACTTGTTTCCATCATGATAACAAAGATGTAGGTCATAGATATCACCAATAAATGCATTGATGTAAAACTTGCTGTTGCAACTTATCTGTGAGTCTTGCAATACTGAGTTATTATTGTGTTATACTTGTATCAGGACTGAGGCAATTTGATGGAATTTATATGAGAAAATGAGCAGGGAACAGTTGTACTGTTATGTCATAAACACAGTAACAGCACTGCTTTCACTAGTCCCACACTAGTATATTGTGAATTTGTGACTATGGTATTTCACTTCTTGTTATATTGAATTAAGGCCGACCTTATTACCGATTTTTTATCTTCAAAATTTTAGTACAATGTTTTAAATTTATGCTAGCAGCATAGTAATACGACAAAAACATTCTAATTGCATCTGAATTACTATAAATGGGGAATGCTTGCAAGAATATGCTTGAAGACGATAAAATTAACCAAGGGTAAATTAAGTTAATTTCGAGAAAAACAATCGTTCACCCGACTATGATTGCGAACAAAAATTTCCATTAGTATTAGAGACAATATATTTTTTGTGGTTAACAGCGTTATTGGCTAACTCGGGCTTCATTATTATCGTGGTTTAATTTCGTAATTCAGAAAGTCCAAATGTGCATAATGGACGCCGCGCTGACGAGCGAGAATTGGTCGACGCTGTATCTCGATCAAACATGGTCGCTGGAGTAAAGTAAGACGACATTCGCACAGTATGCTTGATCTGGTATGAAATCTGGCACGTGTTACGATATTTGCTAGAAATAAACCGAAACGTTTTATTCCGGCTTGTATCGTGCTAACAAATTCAAAAGAAAGTAATACATTTCTTTTAATGTAACAGCTGGAAAAAGAAACGTATATTATGTTCCTCTCATTTCGTTTACCGCCACACGAGTGAAAGCCTGACAAACGCAAATAAAATAAATATATATTTAGGATGAGAAACATGATCGTCAATTAAGATAGTGGCCAATGAACTCATTCAGTAATAGTTCTCTTCAAATGTACACGAAATATTTCACTCAGAACAAAGTTTAAATTAAATTTCAATCAAAATTAAATATTATCTAGACGTCGGTAGTCGATTCTTTATCCAATCATGCCGGGACGTACAATAACTTAGTCGCAGCGCAGGTGTGCTGTTGAAAATTTTCATCAAAATTCTCACGAATTTTCAGGTATACGATCCTTTCAAATTCGCGCATAATATAAAATAAGGCTATTCGGTGGAAAACTGAACTCGCAGTTTGGTGGAAATTACGCGACACATCATCTCGAGTGATGCATAGAAGAGTGTGTTGTGTCGAACTTGAAACAAATGACGGCAGATAAGTAAAAAAGTCAATCACGAAATTTTCATTTATTTCCGTCCCGTAATTTGGAGTGCCGCATAAATGCATTCGGCAGTTTTAACGCAGCCGAAAACAACAATTAACAAACGTTCAATGTTTTTTTTCTTCAGCAAATCGCTCTCTTTTTCCGAATCGCGTAAATCTGATTCGAATCGATTCGGAAAAGATGCGATTCGAATCGATCCGATTCGTAAATCCGAAAGTGGCATCCCTAACCTCCATTTACAAAATGAATAATCTGTATTAAATAAAAAGATTATTTGTTTTGAACTACAAGGCCCGACCTGCGATTGTTCGCTAATGCAGACAACGCCACTCTAAATGTTACGGCGTCACAGTTCATTTTTATAAATTTGGTGTAAATATAAGCAAATAACGTAAGTTCCAAAAATATAAAAAAAAAGTTATTTAATAGAGGAAAAATTAGACATATCCTAACTTGGTCCAATGATTCAAAATATAGAATTAGGTGCGGTCCAAACCGAATACTGCAAATGTCTGATTCGGACCGCCAGTTGATATATGGCAGGGGTGGGCAACCCCCGGCACTTTGGCACGTGAGCCCGTTTACAGCTCATGTTGGATATAGTTACTTGCTAACTTACTGTTATAAATTGATTTCCAAAAAATATAAGCGATTAGAGAAGGGGATACGAGAGAGAAGTGCAGAAAACGGACTGTAGCGTGATTGGGGTGCCATTCCCGAAATTTTTTCGTGTCTTAAAAACTTTGCAACTGCATTACTCACGTTTTCATCTACATATGCTTGTGAATCTCTGTTCTCAGTTATGAACTTCATTAAGTAGTCTCGTACCGGGAGTAGCCTGAAAGATAAAACCAGTATTTCGTGTATTTCTTTAAAAGTTACAAAATATAAACCCAATGTAAAATCTCTATAAGCGGTAATGCAGCAGTAGAAGTCTCACTGATATAGAATGAGAAAATTAATCAAGTCTATTTGTCGGACTGATATTTTCCCGAATAGTGAATCTATCTGTACATGTTTAAAAGGTTTATTATTGTATATTTTCGCTTTGAAGTAGCAAAGCATTGTTTTTAATTTTGGTCGGCACGCGTGCTGGTATCTGGGGCCACCCTCTATTGTCGTTTGATATAACTTAACTTAAACGTGCGAATACCGCGACAGCGGAGCCTGTAGTGTCAACCTTGATTCTATGGACTAAACAGATGGGGCGGTTTTGTTGACGAAATAAGAGCAATACTACTCAGAAAATACCATGACAATCCGTGGACGCAAAAATGCGTGGTAAAGTGCCCGATTATATCTTGTTTTGATTCGTATTTTTGTGAAATCGACAAATCTGTGTGAATTCGACATTACTACTGTGCGTACTTACTGTGCGACATTACTAATGTGGAGGCAGTAAAGTAGAGAATCCTAAAGGAAAATGCCCTGGTACGTATACTACGGTAGCACCCGAAATTTTGCGATTTGCGATGTCTAAAAAAGCGTTTTCAATCGGTCGCGGACCGCTTTTCAATTTAGAAAATTTGGGTTGCCACCATTTACACCTACCAGAAAAATAATTTATTCCTCGTTGTTCGAACTCGCGAGAAACACCTATTACGAACCTATCGAAGCGTGGAAATCCACAAGTGAGTTGTGAAATCCAATCGTAATAGTAGTATATGATGTTGTCTACGTTTCCGAAATGAGCCGCAATGAGCCACATAGATGAGCCACATAAGCCACATAAATGAGCCACATAAGCCACATAATCCACATTATTCCACAAACTAACGGACAGTTCACCGTGACAGGACATGTCCAGCTTTTCGGTCAGATATCAGAGTTTTCGCGAATCGGGAAATAGAAAAATCGCGCTATTGTTTAAGTTTCGCCCTTAATTGATAAGACTTCGAGGAATTGGGAGAGAGAAAAATCGCGCTATTGTTTAATTTTCGCCCTTTAATTGATAAGACTTCGTCAAACTGGGGAGAGAGAAAAATCGCGTTATTGTTTTAACGGGGTGGAATCGCTTGTCGCGTTATTGTTTAAACGGTGGTGGAATCGCTTGTATAATCGATAAGACTTCGGCGAACTGGGGAAAGAGAAAAATCGCGTTATTACTTTATGGGGGTGTAATTAACCGTATTTTCGCTCTCTTGATCGATAAGACCTCAGCGTGATGAAGTGAGTTACCGTGAATAATTAGATAATAAAACTGCGTGAGAAGATCTGCGCAATCGTTTTGTTTAAATGGAATAGTGTCTTATTATAAACGAAGAAAGAGTTTGTTGAAACTTGATCAAGGCGATAAAAACATCATGATTGCTTGACCAGCATGATAAACTGTTTACTTTGAAATATTCTGACGCTTATGAAGAAAATATCAGCAATGTTTGTAAATGAATCTGCGCCATCGTTTTCTTTTAATGGCTTGTGCCGTAAACAACAAGACTTGCTGTGTAGCGCTGTTACACTGTTTGTTTTTATAAAGAATGTAAAAGAGAGAAAAATTATTTACAGAAAAATCTAGTTATTTTTACGATTAAACAAAATCGGAAATATATCACTCCGTGAATTTACAGGGAAATTAACTAAACAGTGGTGATACAGTAAAATGAAACGAAACCTTAAACAAAGGAATAAAAAATGAAATGCGAGTGGGATTGCTGAAATTTTGACGATGAATTTTATCCGGGTATTTGTTAACGTATGCTTTTTTACTAAATATCTCGTTAAATATGATGAAATAGATTCAGCGTGACAAGTAAAACCCCCATCTGGTGCTTATTTTATTGGAATATTGTTGCGATTATGAATGAAAAGTCGGTTAGGTTTTTAAGGTTTGCAGCTTTAATAACAAAACTAACGCAGTATCCACCATTTCGTGTAGTATCAGACCACATAATTTATTTTATACCACTGGTCGTACTATGCGGGGCGGCTTTGTAGTTTTAACATATTGAGACTGTTGTGTGAAAGGTTCCTCAGAAATGAAGGAAGTGTTTTATGCTTTGGCGTGCGATTAATTTTAATGAGTGAAGTAGAAAAGTTTAAATGTTAGTTGAACTGCGGTAATTCTTGCGATGGTATCTAATTATACATCAAAAAAATTCAGCATGCGTCAATTTATTAGCGTGTGCATATTTATTAACAAATCTTCAAATGTGGCAAATATTGAATGCTAAGTAATGAACTAATAAAATTATTTTGTTAATACTTCTGACATTTGATACATTGGTATAAATTTTATGTAAAGATAAAATGTTGATTAAGCAGTTGGAACGATTCTTTTTTTGCTTGGATTTTGTTTAGTTGACCAGAATGAAAGTTGTATTCCCCGTAACTGATTTGCTGAAAATTGACAGAGCTGTTTCTATTTTAGTATTT